CCATTCCCCCCCCTCCCAGCCCCCAGAAACCACCAAGCTCTGTCTCTCTAGATTTACCTATTCTGGATATTTCACATGAAGGGAATCTCCCTTATTTTTTTAACCGCATCATTCACGTATAGACAATTCAGAAGACGCGGAAACACATACAAAATCATGAGCCTCCTTCCCACCCCTGCCTAGCCGGGCGTCCTGAGTATAATGAATATATATACATATCTGCCGGTGGCAGGGGTACACGCTGTCACCTGCTCTTTGCCTTCGCCCCTGAACAGTGTGTCTTGGCAGTTGTTCTGTACTGGCATGCGTCGAGTTGGCTTGGTGTCACCACCGTGTGGATGTGCCCCGGGTCACGTAAGCAGCCCTTGTGGAGGACCTTTAAAGGGGCCGCCTGCAAGGTGCAAGGGGAACTGTGGGATACACTCCAGGGGTGGGGTTGCGGGGCTGGGGCTGTGTGTCCTTCAGATACTGCCCAGTGGCTCTCCTGGGAGCTTGTGCCGGGGACCCCGCTGCCCGCCATGGGGAGAGGGCCTGCCCCATGCCTGGTGTGGCACTGAGCTGCCATGGCTCTGCTGTGACCGGCTGTGTGGCAGAGGAGAATGCCTGCCCTCTGGGCATCCGGTGGTCAGCTCTGGGCCACGCGAACCCTGGTCTCTTCCAGGCCTCCCCCATCTGCAGTAGGAGGGGGCTGGACCAGCTGAGGGCTCGCCACACGGACGCCTTCCCTCCCCTAGGTCTGGTGTCACTGGAAAGATTTTGTCTGCCCAGCGCACGCATTTGTTAACAATGATGAACTTGTACTTCCAAATAGAAGAATATCTGCAGACCCCGGAGAGAGTCAGGGTGAGGCGATTGTCGCCCTCGGTCGTCGTAATTCTAGCCAGGAGCAGAGCAAAGCAGGTGTGTGGGCTGGTTACGTAGGCCCCTTCCTGGGACAGACGCGGGTGTCCTGTGCATATCTGACATCGTGGGAAGAGCTCGGGACTCCCTGCTGCCACCTTTGGGAACACTGAGTCTGCGACTCCTCAGTTTACAGTTATTGATCAGCTGGCCGCCGTGGATCCTTCAGGCACTTTCCATGGCCGTCTTTGTAGGTTTGTGACATCATGGTCCTTGGGAGGCATGTGTCCCCCCACCCCCCCGTTCCTTCTCCGGGAGTCCTCCAGGAGGCCTCTGTGTCGTTCTGTCCACGAGGAAGGAGTTAAGCACAGACTCGATGCTGGGGAACGGCGCTGGGTTCCGGCTGTCCAGGCCTCGCTCTTGGAGGACGCGGCCGGTGCCCTGCTGCTTGTCCCCTGTTTGAACACTGTTTACAGCGCAGAGGAAGTGAGGAGGACATTGTGCCTTTTGTTTAATCTTTCCCGCCTTTTCCTCCGCGGTGCCCATTTGTCTTCCTCGCGCTGGGCCTCTCCTCCCTTTCCAGGGAAAATACACAAACACTGTCACAGGCTGGGCTTCCAGGGAGGCCGAGACAGGGTTTAGCGGACGGGGGCTCCCTCGGGCGGGCTCTTGGGACCCTCCCCGCGGAGGGAGCGGAAGGAAGTGGATGGGCCGAGGAGAGCCTGGGCCGACCCCAGTTACCCCCAAATGCCAGGCATGTCAGTAAACCCGAACCTGGCGCTGAACTAGGAGGCAGCTGAGGGTGATCGGCCCTCCGTCTCTGTCTGAGTAGCCGGCGTGACCAAGTGCGATCGCCTTGGAATTCATCCGAGTTCCTTTTGGAGACATTGTGCCAGGACTTGGACCCAGGCATCCAGTGCCATGAAAGTACATATCTGATCCTCCGGGTAACGTTTGTGAGTGGCACCCAGGACTCCTGTCCTGCCCGTCTCGCCCCACAGGTGCACACCTGAGATCCGGGGACACCCAGCCCTTTAGAAGTGGGATAACCTATGTGCACTTTTGTTAGTAGGCCAGGTAATCGTCCCCTCAAAAGCCAGAGGACATGTGTCTTTTAACTTTTTATTGATGTATAATAGACATATTATGGATGCTCCCAAAGTGGACACACCCACGTTACCTGCACCCAGATCAAGACACAGAACGTGACCAGCACCCAAGAAGCCCCCTTACCTATGTCCCTCACAGTCACCACCGCCTTTGAAAGATAACCGTCGTCGTGACTTCTGAAGGCAGATATGAGTTTTTAAGCAATTGTGTGATTTGAAGTAACTTCTGAAACCTTAAGCAAATTTAAAAACATTTCGTGGCAGGTTTGGGGATGAATGGACAGCGTGGGGAGTCAGAAAGCAGATCGGGCTTCGGTGGCAGGAGCGGTGACGTCAGCGTGGCCAGCACTGTGATGTGGCCGCCCCTGTGTGGTCGGTGGTCAGGGCTCGGATACCGTTGGCCGCCTCTGTTCTCGGAAGGGGTGGACTTTGTATTACCCTGTGCCCCAGCCCCACCTGCCAGCTCTGTCCACAGGATTGCTCTCCAGAGGTTTCGTGGGGAGGATGGTCAGGCTCCCGCACTTTGTTCAGAGAGGTGACACCCGCGAGGCGCATGGTCAGCGTCCCTGTGCTCTCAGCACCGGTGCTGCAGGGAAGGACACCAGAGGGTCAGGCT